GTTTAGCTATGACTGACTGGGATTTGACCTTAGCTTTTCCTCATTCGAGTAAATGACTTTTCTCGTGTGGCTGTTCTGGCAAGTTCTTGTCTTTTTTTTCTGCCTCGTTTCTCTCCCACACTAGAGATTTCATCTTTGATGCAAGTTTTTCCTATGATTTCTGTTGAAATTAGTATTTTTCAATTAAAACATTTATGTTTTAGAATCAAGAACTTCCTATTTGTCAAGGGAAGGTCAGAGCTCCAGATTAGGTCTTGTGCCTGCCTGCATGTAGTAGAGCAGTCCGCTCTTGCTGACATTACCAATAGGTTGAGGAACGGAATGAAGGCTGATGTAGTTACACTGTTAAATTCAGTTTTCTCTCTCTCTCTTTTTTTTTTTTTTTTTAAATTGTTGTTGGAAGGTACATTGAGGTATCTGAAATGTGTGTGTTTGGTCTCAGTGCTCCCTGTGATCTAAAGAAGTCTCTCAGTGGAGTAACCACCTCTCTGTATACTCATGGTCCTGCATCGGTAACACTGAATATAGTTTTGGGCTCTTAGTAAATAAATTAAGCCACATAATAAACATGCCATTAAACACAAAACGCTTAAAACCCAAAGGTGTGTCATACCATTTTAAGGATGAGAGAATGAAACAAGAATAAAAGATGAAATGAAGGATTTAAAATATTAACGATAAGATTCGTTTCTCTGGAAAATGTTACTTTGCGGAAAAAAAATTCTATCCTGACATAAGCTCTCACTGCTGACTCATGGTCAACTTGTCGCCCACCAGCCCTCCCAGGTCCCTCTCCACTGAGCTGCTCTCCAGCAGGTCTGCCCCGAGCCTGTACTAGTGCATGGGGTTGTTTCTCCCTCAGTATTAAGGAGCACTGACCGTGTTCTGTGTGCCATTTTCACATGTCCAACTGTTATTCAAGGATTGTTCCCTGTATAGAGTAGCTGATGTTTTAACACAGATTTTAGTACAAATAGGTTTACTTGGCTGTGAACCTCTTGGCATCCTCTTTACATGTCAGGAAATGATCAGTTTAATACTGATTTTTAGTCAATACAAAAAGTTAGAGTATTTTATTGGTTGTGGACTGAATTTGTATTTGCAGAAAGAACATGCTAATAGCCTGGTGATTTGGGTACTCCTTTGGAAAGTGATGGCTATGGTCCAAGCCAAATTCACAGCTGTGTGTGACTTTCTCTGAAATAGCTACTCTGTTAAAAACAAAAAACTTACTGCGAGGAGTCTCTGGTTCTCTGTCCCTCATCCTTCACTCAGCATTTAGATACTACTGAAAAGGAGGCAGCTGATTGAAATGGTCGTACGTAAGGCACTACATGGAAGTGCTGGGAGAATTGAGACAGATAATTCAGGGATTGAGACTGGTGACTGCAGAAGTGTGAAGTGAAGCTCAGGAGCCAGGTGACTAGAGCCACGTGACTGGAGCAAAGGAGGGGATGTCTGCCAAAGAGAGAGAGATGAAGCAAGCAACGGCCAGATGAGGAGGCTGGAGTTCGGACTGCTCCTCGGGGGCCTGGGGCTGGGAATAGTGACAGGCTAGGTGAGGATGGACAGGGAAGCAGGAGACAGTGGTAGAACTGACAGGTTTTAGACTTCAGATTGAAGGAGACAACAACAGTATATCGAGTTTGTGGAGAAATGGGGAAAAATATAGTTGTATGCTGCCTGTGACTGCAGTCTCTGTTCTGAGAGCAGCTGTGTATGAAACTGCAGTCCCTGTCTTGGCCTTTCGTCTTCATCAGATCCTTGGGTAGCTGGCAGTCCTCTGTGCGGTGACAAGTCAAATGTGTCACCTGGCGCAGGCTCTTCCCAGAGATGTCCGGGCTCACTGCAGCATGGAGTGTGGACAGGGAGCAGAGATCCCTGAGCGCAAGCTGATAAAGGCTGCTGACTCCGCATGTCCCCCGGCAGCTCTCAGCCTGGCACATGGTTCTGTGCAGGAAGCTGAGTGTTCATAGGGGCCTCTCAGCAGGCCTTGCCCACCTACGTACACTCTTCCGAGCGAGGGGCTTGTGTACTGCCAGGGAGCAACAAGAACAGTGAGCAAATACCAATGTGATTTGTCATCCCAAAGCCCGTATCTCCTAAGTACTTACTGTGATCAAATGCCTGTGAAATGGAGGCCGCTATTTTAAAGAAATTTGCATATGATCCAGCAGCTCCTCCTCTGCTGAAACAGACGCCAGTACAAGCACATGATGCCACAAACTAGGAAAGTACATTCAGAAAGGAAGAAATTGGTTACTGAAGTTCTACAGGGCGGCCAAATGGCTGGCCAAATGCTTGTGCGCCTGTATTGTGAGGCTTTCGTCCGTGGTGGCCTATCTCCTTCCTGGTCTGCTTCCTTCCTCTTCCAGCACAGAAGTACTTACTCCTTCTTTCTCCTCCTACCCACTTAACTGTTCATGCAAAGTGGAGAGATGAAGAGGGGATGATAACACATTGCTGTTGTCATCACTTAGCAGCAGAGCCAATCTCTGGACTGTGGGATGCCTGTGTGAAAGGCCCTGACCTTGTTTGACTCATAGCTGTACTTCAGAAGAGCTTGTTTCTTGGTGAAAATAAGGCATTCTGGGTTTTGAGGTACAGGAAAAACACTTCAGCCTCTAGCTTCACGTCAATAACAAGATATCGTTCTGCTTGAGGGCCAGGCAATGTGAACAGGAGGAAGATGTTGGTACAAGAAGAAGGTGATCGAATCATTTTCCTGTGGACTACATTAGCAAAAAGAGAAGTGTTTGAGATTTGCGGGGGGGATACCCTAATTTGAGACATGAAGAACGGTAAGATGAGAATCCAACAAGTTTGAGGAAGGCTGCTGAAGAAAGCCAGGCTCTTTTGTACTGTCAAGCTGGTTTTGCAAAGTGCCATGCTGCCACTTCAAGACTTTCTGTGTTACAGTTTTGCTGAGGCAAGTAACTATGCTGCACCTACTGAATCTGTTCTCCTCGGATGTGCGGAGGACGGGTTTGTATGCAGCGCCAGTATGTTGGGATACAAGGGTCTACCAGTAGCACACCTGCGTGTTGCTGTGTCACAGTGAAAGGCAGCCAAAATGAAGTCTGCAGCAGTGATAAGCAAATGATGCCCAGATTAATCTGTGAACCCAAAGTAATTTAGGAGATGTTTATTAGCAATAAATTGGCTTGTTCAGCCTGAAAAAGAGAAGGCTGCGAGGGGACCTAATATATACTTACAAATACCTGAAGGGTGGGCGTCAGGAGGATGGGGCCAGACTCTTTTCAGTAGTGCCCAGTGACAGGACAAGGGGCAATGGGCACAAACTGAAGCACAGGAAGTTCCGTCTGAACATGAGGAAGAACTTCTCACTCTGAGGGTGACGGAGCCCTGGAACAGGCTGCCCAGGGAGGTTGGGGAGTCTCCTTCTCTGGAGATATTCAAGACCCGTCTGGACAAGGTCCTCTACAGCCTACTGTAGGTGACCCTGCTTTGGCAGGGGAGTTGGACTAGATGACCCACAGAGGTCCCTTCCACCCCCTACCATTCTGTGATTCTGTAATGTGAATTGACGTATTAGGACAGAGGGAATTCCTGTGCAAGGTGGTTGATGTGGGTTTTTAGATGCTGCTTGCATTTAAGTAATGTCTAAACACTGGATCAAGAAGCAACCATTTCAGACAGACATCAGGAAAAAAACTGGAAGAAATCTGACGATACGACTTCTAACTACGTGCACGTCTGATGCTAGCACAGTACGCAGGCAGTACAAGCACCGAAGGCAGTTACTGCTCCTGCGCTCGATGACAGCGATTAACCTTTTGCGTTCTCCCACCCTGCTGCAGAGCCGAGGGGCAATGGCCAGTGTCGGCCCCTCGGGGCTGAGCCATGCAGTGCCAGCTCTGTCGGACTTTGTGAGGCTGTGGGACAGAGCCACGCGCTGCAGAGCGCAGTAACTTCAATGTCCTTATCTCATTTGCTTTCTGACTGGCCACTCCTGTGTTTATGGGAGGCTGGCTGGAGAGGCTGGGAGCCTATAAAGCAGTTCTGTCTGTTATTTTTTAGAGAGTTCCGGCTGACTTTCTGCAGAAGTTGTCATGAATTCCGGAGACTTTATAATCATAAAATCTGTTTATAGCCTTCAGTTACCAAGCAACAAAGGACAAAGTACTGAACCTTTCTATTCATTAATATATTTTACATGTTAGTGGGCTGGTTTTTCAGGGGAGACAAAATGAGGCCACCAATCAAACATTTCTAAAGCTTTATTTTTGCTTTCTTTAAGCTCAGGATGGTGGATTTTTAAACTGTTTCAGAAAGCACTTGCAGTACTAATGCAGAAGGTGGATTCGTGTGTGACAATGTCTGAGCTTTGACCCAATCACGTGTTTTGAACCCAGTATAAAAGAGTATGAAGTTACCTTCAAAAACCCCCTTTTCCAGTTGCAGGCTGGGGCCCTTCATCTTCTCGCTGTGATAATCCAGTGAAGCCTTAACGCCATGCATGAACTGGTGTTTGCCTGGCGCTGCTGTGCCCGTTTCATCTCCCCCTGCACGTCCGCTTTGACTCTGCATTTCCCATCGTCCTGTCCCCCGGAGTGACCAAAGCCAGACGCGTAACCCACCCGTTACACAGGAGACAGGACGGGTTTGGTTTTCCTTTGTGCAGGAGAGCGGGCAGTGTTACTCAGTCTGAAGCAATGATGAGCCCCTCGGAATTCCACTCTCTTAATTTCTTTTTGATATTTTTAATATTAGGGCAAGATGTCCATGGAGCCCTGGAGAACCCCATGGTGGATACAAGCATGCTGGAAGAATTCATCAGCAGTGATGCAGAGTTTGGAACTTTGTAAGTATCACAGCACCATGCAGTTCCTCTCCTTAGCAACATCTCTTAAATTGTTTGCATTAGTGCCATGATAAAACCTGAATGCGACAGTCAGACCTGGATCTGAGCTTCAAGAGGAGTGCGGCTCTCTTGATATTGTTACTTACTTGAAGCTGTATAAGACGACTTGGAAAAATGGATTATAGACAGTAATGGAAATATGTTGTTCAACAGGATGAATGATAATGAAGTCTGGGATAGTTCACAACTGCTATGCTAATTGTGGCATTAAATGTAAAGCTGTTATTTTAACATTCCTGTAAGTGCTAGTTTAGTGTTTATGTACAGAATAATTGATATAAATGAGACTACAATAAATTGAGAGAATAATGTAAGCCTCCCAGTTTGAGGGAAGCAGGGCTACTTTTTTCATCCTAATGCTTCATTCAGAACAGAGAAACCATCCGTTCATCTCTTCTGAGACTAACTTTACGAGATGCAAAGGAGACATAATGCAAAGGGCCGTGGTCAAGGGTGGAAAGTTATGCAGCACAGATCTGTCACAGACTTCAAACCTAAATTTTTCATCAGATGACTGTTGTTCAATGCACAATATTATTAAAGGGCTGACGCACTTGCCAAGAAGCAGAGCAAGAGGGGATGTTTTAAAAATAATCAAACACGGGATTTTTCATTCTGGACACACTCAGCAGCACATATATTTACTTACAGTGGGCTAAACAGGCTTCTACCTGCTCTAAATCATGAATAATGAAATGATTATCTCTCTGCCTGTGCTATGAAAGTAAAGAAGAATAAAGAGGTTGTTGTATGTAAATACACATAACCGTTTATAGTGACTAAACATGTATTAGGTTAAACAGATTATTGAACTCCTGTATGACATCTTTAAAATGTTGTTCTTTTGCTTTTGTACAGAAACGATAGCAGAAATACAAGTGTGTGTGTGTGTATATATATATGCTACTATGTAGCTTATGTACGTTGGCTATTATAGTTGCGGTGCTACTAACTATTTACATGCAAGAAAATAATCTGTAAAGCTACTATGGGTTTGGAGGCTCAACAGGATTTTACACTAATATTAGTCAGACTTCATTAATTATGGCATTAAAAAGAACATTTATCAAATCATTAGATCTCAAAAAGTTAAATTGTGAAGTATTCGTCTGTATTGCTGACTATTTGTACATAAACAGAATAGAATCTTACAGAGGAACTTGCCAAAACGTGTTGAAGGAGAAAAATGTTAAAAGTCTCCATATATACATAAAATGCAGATCAGCATAATGTCATGTGCAGTACTGAGTGCAGACTGCAATGAAAAGGGTGCTGTTACCACCCAGGTCTTGGGTGCGTCTGGAAGTGTCAGTTAAAGATTGCTGTGCATCAGACAGGCCATCGACGTTGCATTTATTCTCCTCTTGCACCACATTTGAAGCATGATGTGATGGGCCTGGAGAGCGAGGGGCTGCTGAGGCAGGACAGAGCTGGCTGGGACCGACTGCGGGTAGGTCATGGCTGCTGCCCTGCAGCACAGCATGTCAGCACCGTCGCCCAGACCCTGCCCGGCGCACCCTGACCAGTTATTCTTTAGTCAGGCTTTAGCAATATGTCGAGATTCTCCCCGGTGGTACACTCACGTGCTGTCAATAATCGGTCAGCAATGGTGTTTGGGTTAACATATGACTGAATGGCTTGTCTTCTGTGATGAATGAGGGGATTTTTTTGTTTGTTTGTTTTGTTTTTGAAGCTTTTTTTTGAGGAGCCTGCTGGGATGAACCTGTTAGTACTCTTTATTCTCAATTCTTTTGTGATTTATGCACAGAAGATATGAATTGGTGGTCCCCCACTATGTTCTTCCAAATGGAACTGGAAGATTGTGTAGGACTTTAAAGAAGGAAGGTAGCTTGTCACCTGTGGAAACCACATGTGAAGTTTCTGAATGTTTTTGGTGGGCTCATAAAAGCTTTTGTTTCAAACTGGGCAAATACACTTCCCACCTGCGCGGCAGCTCCCGTGTCCCTCCACACTTGGGCTGCCTGTCGTGGTGAGCAAGGTGCCAGAATGGGACCTGCTAGCGTCAGATGGAGACTGAGAGTGCTTTGGCCAAGCTAAGGTCTTAAGAAATCGGCTAGTGGATGAAGACGCTTCAGATCTTTAACCTGTAGTCCAGAGAGAATGAGTTTAAAGCCCTTGTGAGCTCCGTGTACTCAGAGTCACTGGTGTGTCCGGAGGTAAATGAAGAACAGCTCGTGGGACAGAAGGAGGATTGAAGTCAGCGAGTCTGGAAAGGAGCTTGGGTAAGAGATGGTAGAGATGGGTCGTCCTTGCATGGGAGAGAGGTGGAGGGCCATAGGAGATGGTCTGATGAAGTTTAGGTGACATTGTTCCTGTGAGAAGGGGCAGCAACAATGGTGAGCAGTGCTTCCTGAAGACCCTTCCCAGTAGCCTGGTGGTCCCCCTCCAGCTGCTTTCAGCAATGCGTTGTGGTTGTCCTCCATGTCTTCTCCCAGTCAAAATTAAAATCTCTTTTCATCCCTAGGCAAAGCCAGTTGCCAGACTCCCCACCGGACTCTGGATCAGAACGGTGTTCTCCACCACAGCTCCAGAGTAGGTCACATGAATTTATCCTCTCCCAAGCTCATAGGAAGGTCTTCAGCTCTCCTTCCTTCTCCTTACTTTCTTGTCTGTTTATTTTTTACAGCCCCATGGTATGACACTACGTGGCCCAGTGGGCTGCAGCCTCCACTCCCATGCCCATCTGCTGTGGCAGCCAGCAAGCTTCCCTGCAGGTTCATGGAGTCTTACTCTGACCCCAATGCCAGTGGACATCTCTGCAGCATCCCCCAAGGCTGCTGCCTGAAGACTGAAAATGCTGTGACTCCTTGGAATAATTCTACATCCTCCAGCTGTTTGGGTTTTAATTATTCTTACCTGCAGCCAAATGTATCTCAGATTTCTGGGTAAATGATAAAGCTTTTATGTAAAGGATGAGACAGAGAAAAAAACCCAGCAGAGCTGGCAGAAGACGTGGTTTAAGATTGGTGTAAAATCTCCTGGAGTGTAAGGCTTTCCACAGGATGGCAGTGTTTAGACGTTTTTGAGACATTTGTGGTTGAGGGCTCTTTCAAGATCTTGATTGGAATTCACATTGGAAGTAGGAATGGATTTCAGTTTTTAAAACGTTAGGAAGCTAAAGAGGGATCAACAGGTGCTTCATAACTGGATACTAAAAATATGCAGGTGTTTTGCAATATCTATTGCAGGGATTTGTCGACAAGAATCTTGTAAGTGTTCTGGCAAGTGGCATGAGAAAAAAAAATTGCTGTATTTATGTGAGCAAGTGAAATGGTATTCATATACCATCTGCCATATTCACTCACCAGTGTGTTGTGGATGCTTAAGTATTTAGAATACACTGGGTAGTGCAAGCATCCAACCATCATACCTGGAAAGAATGAACTGACTGGTACATGCCAGAGAGAAACCTCCCTGGTTATGGGGAGAGAAATGTGAATTCATCAGTGTTAGTCCTGGGTTTCCAGATGCTCTGTCCCTGCCTTCTCTTCTGTACAGAGCTCCATTGCGTGTTACGTGTGATGTGAGGGAAGGAAGCTGCGCCTGGGTTTCTCAGTGAAACTATTTGTGTTCTGTATTTGTTTGTTTTCTAGTAGAAGGTGCCAGATAGTCAAAACCATCTTATTTTTGGAGGGAATACTTTAGTTACTGGAACTTCAGATACAAAATAGTCCTTACGAAATGTGGAGCTTCTGAACAAACTCAGAGAAAGAACAACAGTGTGGTGGGCAGGCTTTTCTTCTGCTTGCGGAGAAACGTTAGTTTGAGTACCTGCTGGGCCTGATTGAGACCTGGGGTTTGGCTTGTTTTTTCCCCCTTCCAGGAGGAGCGACCATCTGTCAGGATATTCTAGCTTACATTTTAAAATATCAGAACTTTGGAATGAGTTTTTTTCCCTTTGCACAAAGGAGCATTTTTTGAAAACTCGCTTTCTGGGAAAGGGGAAAACTGTTACCTACCAGTTGCCCCTTGAGATCTCTTCATGAATGCATTCGTTTAACTGCTACTCGTGTTTTCTATGTAGGAAGGAAAGTGAGTTCACGCTTGGTGGAATACAATTATTTAAGATAAAGCTGGGATTTTAATGCAGATGTCAGGAGATGATAAAACCATGCCACGTATGCACTGTGTAAATTTTTGAAAAGAGATCAACTTCTTTATTCACATGAAATAAAAAAATAAACTAATTTATGTTTTGGAAGGAAAAATTGCATAATTCAGTTTTAAAAAGCCAACAGCAATCTCCTCCCCCTGGCAAATCAGAATTTGGGTGACAGTACAGTTAGAATGAGATACCTGGGTGTTCTCTTGTTATGATTCTGTAATATCTCTATTTATACTTATAAATGAGTAATGCAACATGTATTTTTAAAAAAGTATTTCTGCAGCATCAGGCAAAAAAAGGAAGCTCTCACAATTACTGGGAGATGCCGCTGATTCTCCAGTCAGGTCTCAGGACGCCAGAGAAGGTAAGCAACTGTGCAAAGATGAAATTTAATGTTTCATACCATAGACAAATAAACATTTTAAGAGGACAGCTCCTGCTGGCTTTGAAATGGTAGCGGTATTAACAGCCTGTACTCTGCTATCAGGTTGGGAGGAATTTACCTTTTCAGTGTTTTGAAAACCAGGGCCCATTTATGTTTGGTGCACAGAGAAGAAGCGTTAGAGGCTCGTGTTTCCTAAGGACTCTCTGGACAAAATATTCTGCCCTTCGCCATGTGTGAGCCTGCAGTACACAGATGATACCATACTCTGCTGACTTTGCTTGGCGCTAAAGTGACCGGGCAGAGAAACCATCTTGGGTCAGCTTAACAGGGAATTAATGTGGTGGATGAGCAAACAGATTGCAGTTTCCCCTTATCTCAACTCCGTATTTTTTCTACAAAGTGTATGCATGCACAAACTTGGTAAAACCTTTGTGTTCTTCTCCACCCCTTCCCCAAATTAATTTGGTTCTTTGTTTTATCAAGATAAAAGTGCTTAGCTTATACCAATTGATACAAAAAAAAAGCTTATCAGGCATGTACAGGAATGGATCAGCTTCTGTGAAGAGTGAGGCTCTCTGTGAATAAACAGTTCGTAATGAACAAATGTTTATCTGAGGAATTTCGCCCTTGTCTCTTAGTGGAAAAGCCGAGAGTTGCTTGGTATTTCTTCAGAGTAAGTTATTTTTCACCATTAAATCAATCTTTTAGAACACTTTTAATGAGTAGCATCTGGATTTAGTAGGTTACTTTTCCTCTGGTATCTTTTATTTAATCAGTATTGCTTGATTGTGGCTACTCCTGTAAGTCTACCACTGCTGGAGAGAGAAGATGAGCAGATGCTTCTGTATCTAAAATTACTGTTGCTGTTTTCAGTACTTAAAGACACAGTTTTGAAATATGCTTTCCTTGGGAGTCACTGTTTATAAAATTGCACTCATACACAAGCTATAGGAAAAATAATACAGCCATTGGTAAAAATGGCATGGAGATCATGTAGAAATGAGGTGTGAATTTCTTTACTGTGGGTTGTTTTTTTTTTTATATTTTCACTCTGCTGTATATCAGAAGTGGTGAATCGCAAATGAAGCTTAAGCCTGAAATAATTCTGTAGGCTCTACCTTACTGTGCTGCGACTGGCTGCGGATGGATCTTAGCTTACATGCTCAATGATATATTTTCTCCTGTCCTTACTGCGCTCCATTTATCTGTCTGTGTTATCATATTCTCCTCCGTCTTCATAAAATGTGTAATATCTCAGAGAATTATGGTTGACCCTGTCTGTCTCAGAATGCTACAATATATAGTCAGAAAGCATTAACCAATCAACCAGATGCAGCAGTGGATGTGCTTGCTGTAGGAGAACACTGCCTCGTGCTCTGGGACAAAGTGCCTGTTGCAGTGAGTTGAAGTATATTCTGTTTCAGCATGTAGTAGAAAGAATGGGAAACATATGTAATTCTTTAGCTGAATTGCTTCTTGCAGTGTTGTAGATTTACACTAAAATGCTTAGCTCCTCCACTCCCCCACCCCGCCCTGGGAAAAGTATCCATCCTTTTGGAGGGAATAAAAATAGGAAGTGCTACTTGTGTAATATTTTGCAAATCAGGAAAGCTGAAAAACTTATTTTGTAGGGCAGTGGAATGTAACACAATCCTCTGGAATAACTGTAAAGGACAATCAGATTTAAATATACATGCAATATTTTTCTGCTTTATATGTATATATATGTAAACATATTTATAAAAATTTTTATGCAGGTTTTTTTGCTAATCACAAAAGTAATAACTGAATTGTCACTGTCTCTCTACAGCAACTGGTAAGGACTGTGCTGCTGAAGTGCAAGAATATGACAGTGATGGACAGAATGCAGCTTTGGAAAAATGCTGTCAAGCCCTAACATGGCAACCATATCAAACTTCTCAGTGGAACAGCTTATTTAACTCTAATTATGAAAAACTGTAAGCACTGAAGTTTGCACTGGGAAAAGGGGGTTTCTTGTTTTTTTTTTTCCCTGGTATTGTAGTTTTGTAGGAATAAATGATACATTTGGCATCCCTTGTTCTTACTGAAGATAAGGAGGTACAGCAGACATGATGGAAGATGAACCTGCAGATGCATCAGATAAGCAGAACTTTAGACACTGGTTGAAATTTATGACAGGTTTTCTGATTTCCGTACAGGCATTTAGGGGCAAAAGAAAAATGGGTTTAACTTAAAATACCTGTTAGTTATTGTTTATTTTGTGAAGCATGTTGGGGCAAGTAATTACTGAGTATATGGCACCTTTCCCTCTAATGGCGTAACGCATTAAAGAAAAATGGAAATAGAAAATGCCTGTATTACTTCTGGGCTCATATAACCTAAGTCTTAATAACTAGAGACGTACATGTATGGTGCACAACCGTTTAGTCAAAGATGTAGAGTTTTCCTATATAAATCAGAACTGTAAATAATTTTTTATTGGCCACATGATCTGGGGAAGGTCATCCCAAGTTTTCTCCATTCTAGTATTTAGTGAGTGATCTCTTTTAACAAAAACCCTTCTACAGCAACTGGTCAGTTTGTCAGGATTGGTGCAAACAATTTATTACTGTCTTGAAAGGACTTAAATAGCATAGTAAATTTTAATGTTCCTCTAGCCCAGCCTGCTAAAAGCACTCATGGGAGTTTGGACTGTGTCAGTGTCATTGCTGGATGCTGATGTTCCCTGTTTGTGCATAGCATGATAGGGCAGTACACAACTTACCATGTCCCACACAACCCTTCACCTAAGGTATTGACATGACAGGAGAGCAGACAGCTCAGTGTCCGCACCTTTCTAGTCCTTGGGAGCTGGATGGGCCAAGAATCCTTCAGCTGTGTTTGTGATGTGAATCATCACTCTACACGGAAGTGGCTTCCAAATCTTGTTACGCTTTCAGTCAATGACTGCATTAGAGCTGTGAGTTGATGGTGGGAGATTGGTCTCCTGCCACTACCCAATTACTTGTTGGTTCCTGTACACTTAAAATTGAAGTTCCAGACTCACATTTCTTGGTGGCTTGTGTCAACAAATTCAATGTGATGCTGAGCATTAAAGCATCCAAATGTATGTACTGTTACCATTACTGTGGAAGGGGATTGAGATACTACTTGCAGAGGAAGTCAGTGTTACTTTTAAGTGAGGGCAATGGCAGTGCCTTTGTTCCGAGACGCACTGTAATGACAGCATGGTGCACAGATTTTCTGAGTAGCAATCCTGTATTCTACTAGCCTCAGAAGAGTCATGTGCTTATCACTGCTTAGTGTAGATGGATTTGCCCTGTACCTCGAAATAGCTGTGCCCACTCTAGGGACATTTCTCAGGTTAATTATTATTTTCCATTTTATTCATCCAGTATTTTAACCTTTTTTATTATTTCATTTTCACAAAATGCTGTTAGCTGAGCTAGATTCATTAGAAAAAGTTACTCTACCATTAATTATGCCCTGCATTGTCTCTACTTGGCGTTTTCTCAGCCCCTTGCCCCATTAATATTGTGGTTGGCAGGACTCAGTTCCAAATCTGTTGTCTGAAGATTCAAATTCTGAATAGAAAGAGGAATTTCAAGTGTATTTCTAGTACTCCAGTATCCCTATGTGATAAGGATATCCCTTGCTACCTAGAAGTTCTTCCAAGTTTTACTGTACTACTTGGTAAGACTGATCATTCTTTGTGCCATCAGATAAAAATAGGAGTTTGCTCTTAATTACTGTAAATGGCGTACTTAGAAAATGATGCACATGAAATTCCTCTTTGAGAGTCATTATTCCAAACAATTCAGCTTGGAGAAATGGAAATTTCTACTTTGCTTCTTAATCTGCTTGCCTGTATGTAAGCAAATACTCTAAAATTGCTTTAAGAATATCAGCTAATGAACCTGCATCAGCTACATAAATGAAAAGAATTACCAGCTGTAGGAAGAAACTGAAAAAGTGTTGCTTCTTTAATAATGATGGTTTGAGAAGGTAGACACTTCGTTATAATTTTAAATATGAATTAACATATGATTTAGTAGTCATAAAGTAGTCTTCTCTTTATTCCCTGTCCCAGATAATCGGTGGTTGATTGAAAGGGGCCTTTTGTTCATAATCTATGAAAAGATAAGGAAGTCTGTACATTTCTTGCAAAGTCTGTAAATCTTGGTATTTCCAACTAGTAATGCTCAAATGAACGCATGAGTTTTGAAAAGCCATCTTCGATAATTGTGTTAATGAGAGGCTCTCAGTAGCATCAAACGAGATCATCATTATCAAACTTTGATTAGCAAGAAAAGCCCATGCCCATATAAGAGAGCCTTGCTATGTAGTCCTATTATTTCAGAATTACCCATCACTTAAATCAGAGGACTGGAAACGTTGTTGGGATGGTGAGTTTACTGGCTCTTTGAGAAAGATCTTTTGATACCTTTGCTTGTTCATGGTGAATCATAAGGACAAAATACTCTTTCTCTTTGGGTGACAAATTAGCCCTTTGAATAAATAGAATAGGGTTTCCTTAGTTCGGGTAGGATGGACAACATTATAAAAGAGAGTTTTATAGTCATCTGGCCACAGGGTCAGTATCGATAGCTTTTCTGTTAGCTTGAGTAAAGCCTTATTTGAGTCATAGCAGTTTCTGCAGAAGCACTTTGTGTGGGAATTTGGGAACAAAATAGGGAGTCTTACTGGCTCATTAGCATGTTGTTGTCTGCAGCACTCGTTCAGCTCTGTCATTTATAGCAGTGTTATAATGAATGCTTGAATACACGAAAAGGTTTGGTTGTGCGTTTAGGTGAACAGAGTTCCTTTATACCAGATTTGTACGAGAGGATTGTGTAAGCTTCTCTGCCTCTGGTTTCCAAACATTTCATGTGTCACACTAGAATTACAGTACACTTTATATGCATTTTCATTTCTGTATATCTAAGAGGCTAAGAAGAAAATACGGGTAGAACTGGTAAAGATATATTTTGGTTCCCATTTTGTCAGTAAAAATCAGATGGATTTTCAGATGACATAAAAAATAGGAACTCAAGATGTCATTCAAGTATTTTTTTAATATATTTATCAATGTATTAAAGTTGCTATTGTTTCTTCTTGTTTTTGTAGACCTGCTGTAGGATATCACATTGTCACAGATAAAGGATTTAATTTTTCAGCAACAGATGATGCCTTTGTGTGCCAGAAGAAGAATCATTTCCAAATCACAGTCCATATTAGAATCACTGGACACCCAAAATACATCAAAACTCAGCTGGGGGGGAAACCAATAGAAAAGTTTTGCTTGAAAGTTTTTGGAATAAAGGCGAGTATTTCTCCTTTTTGTGATTATTACTTTTAATAAGTTAGTGTGTGATTATCCACAAAATAAGGTAAATAATTGAAATGAGCTCTTTTCTTAGTCATTTTTAGCCAAGAACTGAGAAAAGAGAACTTTTAAAATTTACTAGTGACTTCTGTGTGGAACTATGTTGCAAAAAAAAGTTTTATGGATGCGTGTGCAGATATGTGCTGAAAGACATCATGTTTACCTGTTTGCTGTGGTTTCACTGACTTCCCTCTCTTTGGCTGAAATTTTGTTCCCTCTGTGGGCAGTGCAGGGGCATCAGCTGGTGTGTAGGTGGGCAGTCTATCCAATGATCAAAAAAGATGTGTTGAAAACAATTCACAAAGCAAAGAAAAAGAAGCAAATCTGTTTTTCCTGAATAGTTCACAGGTAGAAAACCAACAAAATTTCCTGATATGTTCTTGCCTGCCCACTTTTTCCATTTCCATTTTAAGAATCAAATTCTTCCCAGCCAATATGGGTCCACATGCTTGCGTATACAGAAGTAGTAAAAATTTTTAATCCTTCTGAAAGATTTAACCAGTTCTTTTATTTACTACGAACGTTCAGTGATTTAAAAAATACATGTAGCTATCTTACAAGGCAGTTACTACCAGCTTTGCTTAATGCATTCTAATGCAGAAATTAGTGAATATTACTGTACTCTGTTCCCATCTGAAGCAAAGTGCTGTTTGGTACCATGCCAGAAGGGTGCAGAAATTTGCATTAAAATAACTTACGCAACTAGCTTACATAGGTTCAGTTCTCCTGTTAAATATCTACATTTATGCTTTGGGATAGAATGAACCAATAACAGTCTAGATTCAGAAAACAATTTTTATTTTTTGCAAATTAATCCATGACTTTTCTATTTTTGTCAGTTGATCAGGATTCAATTCCTGTGTTACCTTCTATGTAGTTCCATGAGAAATGAGAGAGATTTTACTGTTTCAGACAGAATTTTCCTTTAATTTCTATTTCAAATTTTATGTTTGAAAATCTAATAATCTTGTAATTTTTGAAAATTCTTTTTTTTTTTAATAGGTGGAAGCTCCAAATCAAATAATTGCTATTGAACAGTCCCAGTCAGATCGAAGCAAAAAAACTTTCTATCCTGTTCCGTAAGAATTTTGAGAAATTTGTTCCATTTTATTTCAATATGTGATTGGTCTGAAATGTGAAGTAGCTGTTTCTTGGAAACTTACAGTAGGTCTAAGCCAGTTTTCTGATCTTTATCCAAATTCCATTCTGGGTGCACACATGGAATCACAGCAGTAATATATACCTGGTCTGCCTTCATTCAGGAAAATTTTCAGCAGCTTTACAAATGTGTTAAGTATGCCTATCCAAAATATTTATCTTCAGCTAGGAACACTGTCGTATGGTGTTTAAAGCTGTATGGCAGATGCATTTCCCATCTTAAAAAATGTCGGTGGTGTTCCTGTTCTACATGGGCATGAGATGTATTTGCAGTGCTCATAAGGGGGAGCACCTCTGCTATAAACATAGACGTGCAGCTGCTCCCTGGAACCCACTGCCATTCTTCTGCATCCTAACACACTGGCAGAATCATTGTTTGTTCTTCTGTCATGTGCCTTCTGTTGGAGCTGTTCTGTTCTCTATAAATAATTAAATAAGCCTTGAAACAGAAAAAGAGAAGACAGCTAACATTTGACAGGCCAGTGCTGGGATAAAGGCTGCAATATATAATCTGCAGAAATGAACTTTGAGCTTGGGAGAAGAGCTCAGTTTTCATTTAATTACTTCTATCATGGCATTTTCCTTCATTTTGCATATAGAAGAATAGATTTGGGGTGTAGATTGTTTCATGGATGATGACGGTGTAGTTTTCATTTGTACCAAAGGAGAGCACAGTGGGTGGACTGTTGTTTTCTCCATGCAAGCTCTTTATTCATATTATTTGTCACTTACAGGAACAGTGCCACTAGGTTTTTGAGACATAGGTGTATCTTTTATACTTCCAGACATACAGATTAGTTGCAGGTGAAAAAAAAAAGGACCAGCAGTAAAATGTATTGATTTTAATGTGGAAATTCAGATCCAATAATAAGCAATGTTACCCTTGGCAAGCAACAAATACCCATCATATGGAACACATACGGTTTTGTTATGTTCGAGATTGTGTACAAACAGACCAAGAAACACAAGACTCCTATTGATAAGAACAGTTTCCCAGTGCTGGTGCTTTATTCTGATTGTTTATCTCCTTGACATAGTCACTGTGTTTTTCATGCACTTTTATAGACCAGGTTACTGCATTTTTGCTGGGGTTTTTCTGTTTTTCCATTTGTCAGTTTTTCTCAAAAGTGTTTTGATGAGTTTGAGGAAATCTGGTTTGAGCCAGGTAGATCTCCAAATGCTTATTTCCCTGGTCTTGTTTCCTTTTCTGTTTCAGAGTTGATCTGCCAGGGGACCAGATAACTAAAGTAACACTGGGAAGGCTGCATTTCAGTGAAACAACAGCAAATAATATGAGAAAAAAGGGGAAGCCTAATCCTGACCAGAGGTATTGCTGTAGCTAGTTGGCCTGTGTGCGTGAAGTAGAAAAGAGAAGGTCTACTTCAGAGTGGAGCTGATCTGTATGAAAAATCTCAGCGTTGCTACATCCTGTGACTTTTTTCTAAGTTCAAATTCTGTGATACTTGATATCTGCTTAAAGGCCTCTCTTCTAGAGTCACAGAATGATGTGAGAATAAAACAAAATACATCATCCTCATGTCTAGAGATTGTTTCAGGAAATAGTAGCCAGAATGTTGGCTCTTGAAATCAAGAAGCCAAAAAAACAAATAATGATCATTTTCTTCTGGGGAAGGACAGGTCTTCATCTCTGGGTCTTCATTACTTAAATTTGTCAAAATTACTGTAATCTTTGTTGATTCTCAGTGATTGTGGGGTTTGAAAGAGCATATTACATGGTAGCGAAGGAAATACTTTTTCTTTCATGTTATAACATAAGTATACTGTTTAAATGTGCTGGCTATCTTTTTATGTATCAGTAATAGCAGTTGCCTTTAAAACATTTTATTTTTTTTCTGTGGGAAGACATTGTTTCAATTATTGTCTTGATTAAATCAATTTCAAATTAGATACTTCATGCTGGTAGTTGGACTGTATGCTGTCTCTCAGGACCAATTCTACCTACTGTCTGCAAATGTCTCTGAAAAGATCATTGTGAGGGTAGGTGGAAATTTATATTGCTTTCATGTGAAATATTTTTACTGTTTTGGTATTCACAGGAGGCTGGGGCGGGGTGGGTGGTGATGCTTGAGCATAAAAATTACCATTGAATCAAAAAGCTTGAGGAAACAAAATGAAAGCTGTATATTGTATGAGTATGTTGTTACCTTTTAATAATTGGGATTTTAAAATGTTAAAAATAGAGCTATAGAAGACTTTAAAAAGAGCTTAAACAAAGCTTGTTGTGAATTCCAATACAAAATATGTTGATTTTTCCAGATTGTTTTTTCTTTGAGTTGAAACAATTTCCTACAGTTGCCAAGAATTTGGTAAATGCTTTCATTAGCCAGATGCTTCATTTTCAAAGGAGGATGAGAATGAAAAAAAATGTAAGGGAAGAAGGTCAAGCAGCTCTAGGAAGATTAAGACCTATAGCTGGCCCTTTCCAGTGTGTTTCCAGAGTGTTCCAGCTCTTAATTTGGTGGTTGTAATATAGGTTTCAAGATAGAAAAAGGAAGAATTGGTCTCTCTTCCTCATGACTGTTACTTTTCAATCCCCTGATCCACATAGTTTTGCTTTTAGTAAAAGCGGCAAAGCTGTGCAAATGCACTGCGAGAGAAAGCAACTCATGTTCTGGCCCTTTATACACTCCAACATAACAAAACTACCAGGTGAGCAGTGGTTATCAGGCATATTGGAGCATGCTCTAATTGTGACAATCACTGGTAAGTGCCCACCACCATGCCTTGTAGACGGCAAAGCCTTGTGAAAACCTGGCTTCTTTAAATGAGCGCGAACTTTTTACAGTGTTCATGCTTTTGTTCAGACTCAAACTTAAAGCCTGAATTCGAAGTTTTAAAAAAAATGAAGAAAATTAATTATTGAAACCAAATGCCTTTTCCAGTTGTACACACTCTGGGGTTTTTTTGGTGTTTTTGAAATATCCTGTTTCCTTTACAGGAAATTTCTAATATGAGTTAATTTTAAACATTGCAGAGGATTTTAGAGAATTTATGAATATGTTTATTTTGTGATCCCTCAGTGAAAATGACATCTGGTTAACTAAACAGTAGTAATTTGCTTTTCCAGATGGTCACCTCTTCAGGAACTGCTAATTTTAGATTTCATAGGTCTCTGGAACCTAGCAAACAGGTTTTGAATGTAATTTAAACTTCAGTATCTCAGTTGCTGAGGAACAGCAAAATTCATTTGGTAGCTGTGACTTGCAGAAATTACTGTTAGAAAATGAATTTGTTCCTGCCCATTTAATTGACTGTTGTATTCTACCACTCCAAAACCACAAATAAATTAAAAAAATTTTATTATTCCATTTTATTTTTCGGGCATATTAGTAAGACTTAAGCTCCTCAGAATGTCAAAGGACTTTTGATTTAGTGACTTAATTTTTTTGTGTGTGTTTTGTTGTGGAAATGCCCCCAAAGAGACAAGTATTTCCTGGGCCGTAGTTGGACATTGCATGTTGAGGCAGCACTGAATGAACAATGCTTGACTCATTTCTGCTTCTATTGGGCTTTTTCTCCTGTTCCCACACTCCTCCTCAGCCATGCTTGTGCCACTGTTTTTCCGGGGCTCTGCAATGAACAGGAATGGGGACTGATCTGTCTTAAAAAATAATTCTAATTTTTGTGGTTGGTTAATTTTAAGTCAGTCTGGTTCCTCCATCATCATCGATATCAGTGTATCAGCAGAACTGAGGGCTGGCTTGTGGAAATGGGTGATGGGGTGATGTGGGCTGCCTATACTGGTTCTGCTGCCAAAAGAAGTGTACATCAAGCTGTGGCCCTGGGGCATAGTTTGGATGCCTTTCCTCCCCCTGCATCACAGTTCTCCATTCCTTCAGTTGTGCTGAGGTGGTTGTCTGACATTGCTGCAAAACGACTGCAAGAAATAGAATGGGCCTGAAAAGTAAACCTCAGCCCTACAAAACCTAACCTCCTCCATGGTCACGGCTCCCAAGGAGACGTTTTGATGATTGGGAAAAAAGGGAGGGTGTGTATGGGCAGTCTCACTACGCCTTCCTGCCTCCTCTCCTCCTTGTTTTAATGATTTTGTTGTGGAGCAAGGCTCCACTCTACTAGGTATTGTGTAAACAGAGAATAAAATGAGTCCTTTCCACAAAAGGTTTACAACTAAATTTGTAATTTACCATTTAGGTAATGCAGTTGGGCTTCTTTTTTCCACTTACTTGTTTTAAATAGTTATTTCTAGAAACCTGCAATACATGCCATTTATGGTTTGGAGCATCTACTTCAGAAGAACAGGACCTGTGAATGCAAGCCAAGATCACGTCTGATCTGTTCAGCACAGGCTTTCAATACATGCTGGAAACATTGGTGAAACAGCATGTAAAAGCAAAAACTAGTATTGACAAAGCATGTAAAAAATAATTTTTGAACCACATATATTTAATCTCTGCCTTGTTTCTTCTTTTCTGATTTCCAGCCTCATCTAAAATTTGCTGGTAAATAAATGGTTATGTGGCATAATGTCAAAGTTAAAATTTGGAGAGCTTTAGACATTAATAATTTAACTTAAGGTGATAATAAAATAGAATTCAAGGGAAAAAGCAGTGAGGCCGGTGCTGTATGAGTAGAAGCACTTACTTAGAAGTGACTGCACTCTAGTTTTTTTCTGTTGGTGTGTTAGAAAAGCTCTTGAATACAATTTAAATATTAAAGATTTGACTTTTCATTTTTCCTGAGTTCCTAGTGGAAGAAGCAATAGTACATCTATGCTATACTATATCTTTAAACATAATTTTTTCTTCCAGGCATCTAACCCAGGGCAGTTTGAGAATGACAGTGATGTACTGTGGCAGCGAGGACATGTTCCAGAGACGATAGTCTATCATGGTCGAGTAGGAATTAACACAGATGCACCAGACGAAGCACTGGTTGTCTGCGGAAATGCAAAAGTTATGGGCAGAGTCATGCACCCATCTGACAGCCGAACAAAACAGAATATCCGGGAGGTGAGGGCTGTGAAGGATGGAGGGCATTTATGTTTGCACCACAGCACATGTGGGGATCATTGTTCTGACATGCGATGCAGCTTCTTGATGCTGGGTGTGCTGAAATGCTGGCCTGAAGAAATCGGGTGTACCACTGTGCTCTGTAGAGCCATTGCCTATGGGCCTTGGAAGCGGCTGACCAGAGAAGCTGGGGATATCTGTGTCAATGGGAGTTGTCAGACTGAAGGGGAGCAGGCAATACAAATACAAATAGCACTCTGCTAATGGGGAATGGGAAGATTGTCCGTATTTTTCAGTGTGAAGATTGGCCAAGTGGCCGTGTCAGGCTTGTTCTGTCTCAGTGGTGTCCTAGATGCCATGACCATTAGTGTTTCAATATATGAATCTTGGTATCTGTCCAACTAGGTTGATACAAATGAGCAGTTGAGAAGAATAACACAAATGAGGCTGGTGGAGTATGACTACAAGCCTGAATTTGCATCTGTTATGGGAATAAAAAATACCCATGAAACAGGTATTCAGTCAGCTCTGTTCCCATTTTTCATTAACTTCCACTGTTGTTCATTGTGCCATAGTGCCTTTTAACGCCTTGCTATTTCACCCTCATTTCTCAGGATACTACAATTGCACTCTTTGCTATGTTTCTCTTGTGATACAAAAATGCCAGAATTACGTATTTCTGGTAACTTTCCAACTTCTGGTTCAATTTTTAAAGATAGGAGGTTATTTTTCCAGAGTTTTAGTGAGAATGAAGTATGTAATCACAAACAATTCTGTTCTTACTGCAGAGAAATGGGAGTTCTAAAGGTTTCTGTTTTCTGTGGAATGGCAGGGGTGTGAACTCCTGGATTTTCCTACCTCAGAGAAATTCTAGGTCATGTTTGCCCCTACCTGCAGTTTTTTTAGGATGGACAACTCAAAGCATACAACTATGGTCAATGGTATGCCAGTGTGTTTCCTGACTTTAGTTTCTGTCTTCTTGTGAACAGGAATAATAGCCCAGGAGGTGAAGGAGCTTTTACCTCAAGCTGTGAGAGAAGTTGGAGATGTTGCTTGTAATGATGGAGAAAAAATAGAAAACTTCCTCATGGTTGACAAGGTATGGTCTTGAGAAAGTGGAGGCATGTATTTAGACTGTTCCTTTCGTGGATGGAGCTATAAACACACACTGTGCTGTAGTCAAAGCTGTAGGCCTGCACATGTGTTTACAAAAATAGTGTTTGGCAAATCATTGAGAAACACGGAACCACCAGGTGTTAGTAAATGGCGGAATCTTTTAATGGAAAAAATTATTTCCATTGAAATCTCATTATAATAATAAATAAACATGAAATAAAAGAGAAAACGAAAGAAACCTAACTTTGCTGAATAAAGGTGCATAATGACTTCATAGCATAGGTCCAACAAGTGGGACTCCAAAACTTTTCTTTTGTATTGAAGTATTGAAGTTAATTCAGTGTTCCAGGAGTGAATTAAGCAATGATGGCATTCTATTTGTTAAATAAAAACTTCCTTACTCTAACCCTGGTGTAATCACTTCATACCAAACACAAATGCTAGCTCTGCGTGCTCTGTGAGAAGGTTCTTTTTGGCCACCTGAAATCCTTATTATAGCGTCAAAATCGCATACTATAAAATGTCTATAGCACACAAAGTAATTACTGTGCTCATGGGTTGGAAACAATGCCTTACTCTATTGTCCTGTGCTCTTTTCCCCTACTTTTCCTGTAGAAATAGGACTGCAAGGGGCTGTTGGTCACAGAGGCCAGTCACACATGACTGCAGACAGCACTTGTGCAGAACGTTGCTCAGAGCGGCCCCTTTGTTGTGTGCTGGTTCACTGCAGGTCAAGGGCCACTTCCCAGCTTTTTCCTGCTTACAGCTGATAATGGCAGGAGGGAGGATTTACAGATTGGTAACCCTGTCTCGTCTGGGTGATGTCATGCACATGATCCTTTGTTCATTATAATCATGCAGTCTTTCATTATTCTGTAGAAAACACGAGTGTACACCACCAAACTTGAGAAAATATCTTTAAAAAATATTGCATTTCACTTGTCTTCTTTTGATAGGCTACAAACAAGCTAAATTCTTAGGTTAAATCTGCTAGGCTGTATTCCATATAAAGGAAGCTTGAATTAGACACCTTGAATAAAGCTGTGGAAACAGCACTTTGTAGAGATACTGTTGGGAAGGAGACTTTTACAGAATTTGCTGTATTTGGTCAGGGTTCCAGCCTGCAGCTGATTTCTAGATGCTCAGAGAAGAGCAGTGGTATTAGATAGTGACACTAGGTTCATTTTACCCGTTAGTCCTTCCTCTTATATTGTGTGGCAGCTGCAGCATCATTTGCATTTTTGAACCCCCCACAAAACTGCTTTGGAGTAGTTGGGTTTTTTCTTGAAAAACTTCTAGGTTGGACAATTGAGCTTTTGATTTAGTGGAAAAAATGCTACAAAATGTATCTGATGGAAATACCTCTTTGCTGAAATGCCACACAGAATACTGTCTGTAACAGTGCCTCACAGCACTGCTGTCTGAGCCCAATTTATTCACTTTCTCCTCCACAGCTTGGGTCTCTAGACAGCACTTGCCAGGATGTGCTCCAGGGATGTGACCTAGCAAATGGAGAAAGCCTGCTGCACCCTACGGGGTGATGTGGATATGTGGCCCAGGCAGAAATGAGTTGTTAGAGCAGTGGCTTATTTGCTGTTTACCTCTTTAATGACTGCTTGGCTAGGTCTGAGATCACTTCGCAAACACTTTGACATTGTTTTAATTTGGTTAGGTAAATTACTGCAGTGCAACCTATGCTTTCTCCTAACACCTGTGGCAGAGCATGTGAATGTCAATTCTGTGACCCTTGGGGAGGCAGGGGCAGGAGACAGCTATGTCTCGTGGTTTAAGATGTATATTGAATTCAGAGCTTTGGGACATCTGATCTGCCAGGTGGATTATCTGCTCTAAACATCTGGAGCTCCCAGAGCACCTCGAGTAGTAAGTGGACAGTGCTTCATATCTTTGCTTACAGTTAGGTGGGTGAGGAGGCCTGGAACTTTGTTATTTCACATTCCAAGTTTGGTTCGAGATAACCAGGATATTGGCTGGTTTGGTTGTGTCTCTCTGTCAGTTACCTGTTTGGCATTGTCGAACTCTGTAAAATTAATTGATTGCGCTACACATTTGAACCAAGCTCCGCTACGTTCTAGAGAAATGTCTGAACTGTGTGGAAGCTTGCTGTTTTGGGACAAGAATCCTTCCTGTCTTCTCAGCCTTATGGTGCTGAGTACTTTGTCATCAGTGAGGCAGTAAAAACTCTCATCAGTCCTTTTTTCCCAAAGAAAGTCTTCCTTTGTTTTGCCAGATGAGCTATTTTCTCAGCTAGTTGAAGACACCTAGAAGAGGTTCATGCATGATTTGAAGAGAATGGAAAGGGCAGCTGCTGCATATCATTGATATGAGAAAAAGTGACCATATAAATGATTTCACAGTTCTAGGCTCAGGAGGTTATTTTGAAGTCACTTTTTAGTTAAACAGGCTGTTGGTCTTCTGGCAGTAGAGAAGTTTGCAACTTACCATCGATACCTGTGCTCTGGTTCTGTTTATACAAAATACTGTCTGCTTTTGTGGAATGCAGTCACCTTTAAGAGAAAAGTGTGCATGGTATTTACAACGTGAAGGGCAAAACTCTGCTTTTGCCTTACTTCTGCATGACTTGACTAGACTGGAACACTTAGCAAAGTTAACTGCAGTAATAGCTTCATCCAAGGTTTAATGGCATCAGTCTGGTTATATATTAATATGAGAAAGCTGTTCTTTCAAACACAGCAAAGAAAATATGCTATTAGCATGCTTCTGCAGTGGATCGGTAACCATTTTGGCTCAGAAATAGACAAAATACTTATTACCTGGATGGTTGTACTGAGTGCTTCTGCAGCAGCAGATTGATACCTAGATGATAAGCAGGGGGTAGAAGTATAAGAATAGAAGGCTTTTCCTGGGAAAAATATTCCGAAGGAGTAAATGGAGGGTGTCTGAACTGTGGTAGCTGCAGAGCTGCTCATGGTATTAGAACTTACAGGACTCCTGTAAGAGGCTTGAGAGATTGAAAGGGAGAATAAAATATCATGCCATCACAGCTTTACCTCTGGTTTGGATCTTTCCCTGTCTCACTGATTCCTGTGTGATTCACATAGTGTGTACAGCATGGATAGCAACTCTGGCTTGTCTGAGTCAGGTTAGTTGACCCTGTAGGTAGATGGTTGGATGTACGTCAGCTGCAGCACTACAAATCAAATATGTGACAAATGTGACAGTGTTAAGGTTTAAAATTCAACACAGTATGAAGGTAAAATATAGTTTAAATTCTTGGCCTACAAAGCCCTTTAGCTTCTTCAATTTTCCTGCAAGTCCTCATCTTCAATTTACTGCGAATTGAACATAAGCAATTTTTACAATCTAGCAAAAGGGTTTTATAGTCATAAGTGCATTCCATTTACAGTGAGGTAACCTGTGTTTGCATTTTAAATATTCAATGTATCCTTACATGGGTGAATTCTGTGCTCATTACTGCTTGTTACATGTAATCGATGAATATACTGTATCTATTTTTCCATTGCATTGGTTCTCAGGATCAGATCTTTATGGAGAATGTTGGTGCTGTAAAGCAGCTTTGTAAACTAACCAACAATCTTGAAGTCAGAATAGAAGAATTGGAGCAGTGGAATAGAAAACTGGCCAGGTTGAAACGGATGAGCAGCTTAAAGTCAACAGTCAGTGGAGAGAGCAAAGTCAGGTACCTCTGTCTGGAATGTTCTCTGATAGTTGTCACAGAAATTGATAAAGTGGTCTCTGTGGTAGAAGTGAAAGCTCATTTTGCTTGACAGTGGAGGACAGCTCGTTTCCAGCAATTAAGTTGTACAAAAAATGCAAATTTCTCGTATATTTTAACTCACTGACAAAATTAATATTTGAAATAGCTGTTAAACTGCAGTCATTTTTGCAATTGCTTCAGTTGCATAAAGCAAGGGTAGATTATGTCCAGTTGTCCAAGTGCTGGAGCTTGGAAATTGCTGCTAAGAGAAATCTGCAGAGCTTCTTCTGCAAGAAAGAATCTTCATTATTGCTTCAGTGAAACTGATGAGCGTTTCCTATTTCTAAACCTTTTCCCCAAGTTTTCTTTGAAATCAAATGTAGCAGCTAATAGCATTCACCTGAATGAGTTAACTGAAGGTCTTTGTTCTTGAAAATGAATATAAGGACACTTCTGCTGTTCTCTTTTTAAATGTTAAAATTGCAAAAACAAGTGACATTAATACCTTTTTGAAAATGTCTCTTTTTCCTTTATTAGTTGCTGAAGTATTTGAATGTTAAAGAGATCTTGTCTCTTACAGCAGGTATAGTCGAGCTACTAGTCTTTTGCCATCAAAAAAATCAGTCCCGCTAAAATCCAGCAAGGTGAGTAAAATCAAATATATGAAATATGCCTATGAGAGAGTTTTTGTGAGCACTGCAGTAGTGGTGAAAGCTTTCGTGTTTCTAAACATAGAATCAAATTCCTTGGCCAGAATTAATTAGTGTCATGCTAGAATCTTAAAAACTAACTGCACTGAGATGGAAAATACATGTGAGACACTTCCAATTCTTGCCTATACATTGTGTTTGTCAGAGTAGATCCATGCTGTGTAATGGTGTGAAGGATGAGACATCAACAGGAGAGAATTGTTGAGCCTGTAGGTGTGCTCCCACAATGCAGTACAGCCTTACACAGAAAGGCTGTTTTGGTTTGAAAGTCTGCACAGTGATAATTCTTCCTCAGCTTTCTTCTTTGGATGAGTTTTTCTCTGTGGTTTGCTGTTAGCATCTCCTCTTTTGTACTGGATAATGCTGTCTTTCGGGTGGTTAAGACCTGGTTAGGATGTCGTTGCTATTGCTGAATGACTTCCTCTTGCCCATATCCTGGTACAGAAGGAGTAGACCCCTTTACACAGGGATTGAATGAGTTAGGGAATATATGTTGACCTTTTTCAAGATGGTCTTCCTAGGCTGCTAGATCCTGTTCTTTGAGAGGAACCAGCGCTCCTTTCCATAGCTTGTTTTTGCCAGTGCCAAAAAGCAAGAGAAAGTAATAGGTTAAATGTTCTTTATTGCATCATGACAATCAAATGCTCCATCATCTAAAATCATCCTACTTGTTTGGAAAGTGCCTTTCTTCTGTATTTACACCAGCCCTTCTTTAACATGATCTGAGTGTATACTGAAAGCTGCTTATCTGTTAGTTCTGGCCACTGCTTACTGAGTTCTTAATCTGATATTAATAAATACTTCAAGAGTATGAAAAATGGCAGGAAGAAAAGAGAAGGGGCTGTTACTTTTACTCATCGTTTTTCCCTGTGTACTGTTTGTGTCCCCAGACTATGAACAGTGTGCAGTGCACTCACAGTTTTAGGGAGCCTTTCACTACTGAAGTTCTTCTCTTAGATGTTGACCCCTATATAAGGATGACTTTTATGGTTCCTCTGAAAGAGACAAGGTTAACTTAAAGTTAGTATTTCTTAATCTACTAGCAGTAGCTTAGTTACGTGCCACTTAAATTAACCAAACTTTTTTTTTTTCCTTTCCTAGGTTTGTTTGTCAAAGAGGAATGAGTTTTGCTCCACGAACATTTTCCGGGTGACTATAATAGCTTTGATTGCTATTATGGCACTATGGTAACAATTAATTATCAACAAGTTGACTTGTTTCTCCCTTCCCCTTTCTACTTATCAGAAAGATAATTGCAGTTTTTTTCTTCTTGTCTCCCTTCCTACTCAAAGAACACAATGTATTAAAATTAACAGTGAATGTGCCTGGTAATATTGTAAAGTTGAAATCATGTTAGAAAAGTGAGATACTCATGTTGTGCATACACAAATAATCTCTATCCATGTCATAATGTATGGTGCAACTTGAATGTATCTCACTGGCTTGTGCTACAGGTCCAAAGCCAGACTCATGAGACTCTGCATGTTTCATGCAATCAGTTGGTGCCGAAGTACAATTTCTGATGTATGGAGTGATTCTCTTGTGTGAAATGAAGCAGGACTTTTTCCCAATGTGGTGGTCAGTCCTGTGACTCTGAAAGTTTAACTTGTGGCATTGAACTTTTAAGATTGTCATTTTCTGCTTCCAGTCCAAAAACCTGTGGCCTACAATCTCTCTGTGAATTGACTGCTTTGAACTGGTGTTGTGATTCTATTTACAATGGAAAACTGACCATATTTTATGTTGAATTTAGTTGTATACAAGCATCTGACCTAAAACCCATTCAATTCAGTCGAAATTTTTCCCCCTAAAGGGGAAGTGATCGGATAGTTGACTCTTACATTACTACATTTTGACAAGGTGCTATCAAGTTATTATTTGTATTATGTAAGAGATGGATGTAAATCTACAGAATAATTCTCTTTCTACAGTGCTTTGACAATATCGACCCTATATTTACTCAGCATTCATGACAGACATTTTGAAAAACATCCGACTTATAGGCAAGTAGTTAAATTAGTTTTAGTGAATTAGAATGAGTAATAGATTGTGGACCAGTCTCTTTTGGTCCACGACTCTGATGTCCATTTCTTAATGAAATGTTTTTCTTCATCAACAGTACATCAAGTTCTGTCGTACTCTCTCCCTCTACCACTACAGCAGGTACTGTGTCTCTGCTGGTCTGCATACACATAACAGGCTTTCAATTTCTGTGCTATTATAAAATGCCTGTAGACACACAGCACTAGTGAGAATTATGTCTTTTTTTTACCCCTTTAGCATTGCAAGGGGAAAGCACAATTTCTCAGAGCACGCCATCCATCAGCAGGATCCCTGAAGTGAATTTCTGTGACATTTTGACTTGTGACAAGGTCTATTGTTGTCCAATTAATCAACAAAATGTCAGATCTCTAAGTTACAAGAAAACCAATGCACAGGAGAAACGTAAGTTGAAACACTAATTTCTATTATTTACCATTTGAGTAAAGACTATATGAAGAGTGTGGAGGAAGGTGCAAGAATCTTTAAAGGTAGTTAGCTTCCCACAAAAGTACCTAGTCCAGAGGATTTTAAAAATCCTCGTGTAACTAATCATCACTGCAGTCAACACGTTTTTGAAAAATCTGGCCTGGTTACCTTTAAGAGTTCTGGGTCCTAAGATGTTTTGTCAGGTGTCACTGTCCTTCCTGACCATTCCTGGTAAATGATTTAATGTGAACCAAAAACTCACTAATCCCTTTAATTAACCTTTGGCTACAGCTGGCCAGGAGTTGGCTGTGAGTAGTGAATTAACAGATATAAAAAAACCCAAAACAGTTAATGGTGTCACAGTGTGGTGATACTACATCTTTGCTGTGGGCAGAGACAGAAATTCAACTGCCAGAAAACATAAAACTTAGAATAAAAACTCTGCTCATTCAGGTGGTGTTTTTGAGTAGAGAAATGTTATCTGAAGGCAGAGCTCTATGAAATAAATCACTTTTACTGGGATGAATTCTCTTTCAGATATTGTCTGCCAGATGTTGCGTGTGTAATATATGAGTAGGTATATTGTTTACAACTTTTATAATATTTGTAAGAAAGAGTTTATACATAAAGGTATGCACAAGTTGTTGGAATCTGTATTCCTCTTTCCCAGCCTTTAACAATGTCTGGAAGCAAGTGTTAGTATTACTAAACCCAGCATTCATACACTTCCTTTCTTGGACTCGGGAACAATTCTTGCACCAGCCACCGCTGATGAGTTGAGGTAAAATCAGGGGCGGTTGCAGTTTGGCCTCTGAAGTACAGATGTCTGCCAGGGCAGGCGCTGCCAATTGCTGTGACACTCTTGCCACATGAACCGTTTCAGTGGGATTCACCCGCTGGCCCTGCTTTATACGGCGAAGTGCTGTTGTCTGCAGACAAGCTGCACGTAAGTGGTCCTTGTGATTCTTGTGATTAGTGCTGCAGTAAGCCCTGTGGCAGATACAGCTCAATACAGTACAAATGAGGCAACTGTAGACAGATGAAAATGAAATATGAAAACCTTCTATCCCCAGCTGGATGCTTTTTATATTAGGTGGAAAGAGAAGATTAGGATAAACACAAAGCATTACCTTCTCAAGGTCTTATGCTCCAAATAGCATTAAGTGTGGATCCAAGAGTGAAAAATCAGCACAGTACGCAAGGTACTGAAAGATTTCAGATCTGCACAAGTTTAATGAAGCTGAATGTATCCCCAGATGGAAGGTAACAATGTCAATATGAAATCCAAATGGAAGCAAAACCAGCAAGCTGCTTAATGTAGCTGTAGCCAAGATAAATGAAAAGGAGAATGTTTTCAGAACAAAAAGCTAGGAGTTAAATATGGAGAATAATCAAGATAAACAGTGGATATTTTAGAATCAGCTGATTAGTCTGATTCATGAAATGATAAAACTATGAAATTACAGTTGAATTAAGTGCTAATTTAGCAGTTCATGTTTAACAGATCTTTTAATCTTCCACCACAAAATACCTGAATTCTGTGGGTGCAGGCTACTACTGAGTGCATCCTTCGTAGTTCCTAATCCCTTGCATCTCAGATTTGTTGAGGAGAAGGCTTTTAAGAGTGTTCAAGTAGAAACAAAAGCATTGACAAGCAAGACAAAATTTATTAAACAAAAATTCAGCACATCTTTATGTAGTCTAGCTTAATGTGGCCTTCTTTCCTCATACTTCATTTGTCTTAAGGACTGGTTTATCTGAAGGATTTAGGCTTTTGAACGCCCATTGATTTCAGTGGAACTGAAGAGCGTGAGTACTCTTCATCATCTGGGCCTTTTCTGCTTTCTGCTTCCATGACATTAGTGCTCATTGCTCGCCCCTTCGTGTTAAG